TTCAAGGTACTGAGTCACTAATGCAGCCTATAATGCTTCTCATTTTGATCATAATATACTTCATTTTCTATATCAGCATGTTCAGTTTATAGTATCGAAGTATTGTAGCATTAGTTCTGTCTGTATAAGGAACTCCTTCACCACAAGAGTCTTTGTATTCCTTGACCTCTGATATATGACCTATACAACTTCCACTTTCAGGAACATTTCTCAACTTGCAAAGGTGAAGATCATGAAAAGACCTGGTAGCCAATGGGAAGAGCTCAAGATTCCTCGCAGGTAATATACCACTGTTGCCCAGCCATATCCATGTACGATTGAGGTGGACTGGTTATTGGTAAGAAATAAAATTACGAACCATTATAAAATCTGACAAACATTGCCCTCTTGTTTCAGCATTCAATCAGTTATTTGCCTCAACTTGCCAAGCTTCTCGGGAGGATTGAATCCTTGGGGAACACCTGGCACTAGGAAAGTACAAGATGTGAGTTTTCCTTCTTCAAACCTGCTACAGACTCCACTGTTGTGTTGATGACATACTATCTGCACTTGGCAGAGATTCATAAGTTTCCATTCATGGCAATATGCAGAGAGACCTGACTGCACCTTACGTTGATGATGGCCTCATCGAGATTGTCGGCTTCCGTGATGCATGGCATGGGCTCATCTTGCTGGCTCCTAATGGCCATGGAACTCGTCTAGCGCAGGTGAACTATTCTGCTCTATCAGCAGTTCGGCACACACTGCACCAACTAGGATACTGAAGGTTGGTGACTGCATTTTGCTTTCAGGCCCACCGAATCCGTTTCGAGTTCCACAAGGGAGCAGCCGAGCACACGTTCATGAGGATCGACGGGGAGCCATGGAAGCAGCCTCTCCCCAAGGAGGACGACACCGTGGTCGTGGAGATCTCCAACCTCCGTCAGGTAGCCATGCTGGCCAACGACCCGTGCAGGTCGAACAGCGTGAACGACCCGTCCTCCCCGTCGTGCCACGGCCACGAGGACGACGAGAGCAACAGCCTGGAGGACGAGGACGAGTGGGAGGACGGGAGGAAGAAGTTCGGCGCGGCGGCCACCTTCAAGATCCCTGACGAGGTCGACATCGCACATCTTAGTTAGAATTTAGAAACCCGTCCGGCGTTCGTGCTGAGTTGTGCATGCGGTCCGGAGTTTATTTAGAATTCATTTTCAGAGCGTTCACTGCTGCTGTTAGTGATACTACTTTTTTTTCACGGGGTGGAGATTTCAGAAGTTAACCACTTCTGTTAGCGAAACTGCTCATTTTGCTATGTACAGTAATACTATTCTGTAAATTTCAAGTTTAGCAGCCATGTGTAGGCCGGCTATATTTCATCACTGACTAAATTTTTTTGTTTCTATGCCTGATTCTCAGTTGGATAATTTGACACGTTTCCATCGTGGAAACGACTTTTGTAACGGAAGCGAAGGCCTAACATCTGATACCGTGTTTGATCAGGATTCAGAAATAGCATATCCCATAGAGGAGCAATTTTCAGTCACGTACGTAATCTGTCAGAGGCACGACAGGCAGAACGCGTCACATGTGATGTGAGTGATGAGGATAAAGATAAGATGAGCGACGCGACAAGCAACACCTTCTGGAATCTGGAGTGCCCTGCGTCCGCATCTAACACCCGCCGCTGTTTGAGATAATCCTCCCGGTTCCAAGCCAAACCACGTTCCCCGCGCGCCCACCAGAAAGCAGAGACAGGCAGAGGCGCGTCCCGCTTCCGCTGCAGTATAAAAGGCCCGCGCGCGCCTCTCCGCACTCCACGTCAATCCACGACACAAAGTCGCAAAGCGCGTTTGGCGATTCCGTGCGGGGAGCGATTGCAACGCGATGAGCTTGAGGTACATGAGCCGGGTGGGCTTGCGGGCGGTGCGGGAGAGCACGGGGAGGTCGGTCAAGGACAAGGCGCAGTCGTCGGCGCCGTCGATGGCGAGGAGCAGCGGCGGCAGCAGGGCGCCGGCCGCCGGGTCGGTGGAGTCGGGAAGGGCAAGCGCCGCGGCGGTGGCCAGGAGGAAGGCGGAGGAGGAGAAGCGGCGGCGCGCCGAGCAGGCGCTGCGCACCGTCATGTTCCTCTCCTTCTGGGGCCCCAACACCTAGTAGGAGAACTAGCATCTCGTGTAGTGTGTGGCTGTGTGCTGGAGCACGCTGCTACGTCTAGCTAGTGTTTTGTGTGTTTGAGGTTGGGAAACAAGATGTAAATTTGCTATTGTGATCTAATATTTGAAGACACCCATACGTTGATTCTTGGGAACAAGAACAAGACTTCGTGTTGGTCTGTAGATGTTTCTCCATGTGCTTGTACACAGCACACGCAGTTTATCTTTCTACTATATCTGGCTATCTGCACTTCTGCAGTGCCCATTTTCGTGGTAATATTTTCAGAACCAAGTTTTTTCTTGATAGACGTGTTGGGAACTTGGGAACGTTACACGAAACATTTCGATGCACTGCGTCTCTGTTCTTGGGGAAATCGCAGTACGACGTGTATATCCCCTTTCAGAGTTTCAGTCAGCTTCGCTGCCGTCGTCAGAGGTAAGCAGCAGGCAGGGAGGTTTCCACGACGGCGTTGAAGGCCAGCCTGAGCTACAATCAGGAGGAAGGCCTCTTGACTTGCAAGAAGAAGCGCACCGGAACCACGCGATTCGCCGGCTCCGCTCTCACCCGTCGCCGACTGACGCTGCGGCGACCCAGAACACTGATGACTTGTGCATCATGCTACCAAAAAGTTCCTCGCTACTGTGGCAATCTTTACATGTATCCCCGTGTATACAGATACAGTGAACACACACGCATATCATCCTAGACACGGCTCCCTAACTCCGCTCAGAGACCGGTGACGAAACCGTACGTAGAGCAAGAACCGTAGCGTAGCCTAATTGGGTCCCCAGCAGATGAGTTGCATCACGTTGTCGTCCTTCTCCGCCCTCCTCAGCTTCTCTGCCGCCACCGCCTTCTCCTTGGACACGCCGGTCAGGCCCCCACCAGCCTTTCCTCCCTGCGCCCGCTGAGCCGCCGCCCCCGGCTTCGCCTTCACAGCTAGGCGGCTGCCTGGCCCTCACGGCCACGGCCTGCGCCGCTCGCCACGCCATCCTGCTGGCGTACGTACCTCAGGCTCATCGATGCGATGCTGCAAACAAAACAACCAAACCCACCACTGCTATTCTGAACCAGTGATTGTACTGCTGCTGATGTAATAGCACGGCACTAGACGGCAGTTGTGTATATATGCGAGGTAGAGCACGGTGCGATTCAGTTCCAAAACCGTCAGAGTGCAGCGCGGCTGTGCACACGGCACGCTGCCCGCTGTTTCGGTCCGTAACACGACATTCGCTTCCGGTGTGCGCAAATATGTGGGAGAGCGCATTTCTGCAGGTTCGTGGACGACACATCCGGCCTCGTCAGCAGCCGGATTTTGAGGATCCCGTGGCCTGCGCAATTGGCCGAGTGAGAACAAAACGAAACGGTGCTGGGTCCGACAACTTGTGGGTGGTGCTGTGCTGGCAGCAAAGCGCGACGGCTTTGATTTGATGCGGCCCGCGGGGAAGGAATCTGGTGCAGGGGAGATGGATCATGGATGGGGCTACCTAGGGCTTTGCTTCTTTCTGCCGCGACAGGTTTCAAGCACACAGGGTCTAGCGAATTAGAACAAAGTGGGTGGGGTGGACAGGGACTTTTCAGTTATCCTGTGAAATCCCCGTCCAATGACGAGCGACTGGAGCTGACTAGAGAGAGGTGGATTAGAACAAAGTGGTACACTGTCACTGTATGGGTCCACACTGCCCCTATCCACTACCTTCTTTTTAAAAAAAAATGTGATCATGAAAACTTACAAATAGAACAGAGGACTTGGAACTTTTATAAAACCCTGGATTGGATTCTCGGCTGGAAAGTTTCAGATTTTGTCTAGACAAACTGTAATTAGGATTTCAAATCTCTGAAATCGGCATTAGAACCTTCGGATTCCAGATTGTTGGGTTCAATAAACGGACAGAGGACTTCATTTTTGAAATCGCAAACCGAGTGCTGTCAAGTGACATTATTGTTTTCAGCATTTGACTAGGGCCTGTAAAAATTTTCAGCGTACCGCCTTGTGGCTTGGGTCTCCATTTCTTACAGAATTCCTCGATCCCATGACTGCTCGGTGGAGGGGCATGAGCACCAGGGGAGAGGGACGTTTCGAGACAAAGGGAAAAGAGTATACTAGGAGGAAAATGGAAGCGAAAGTGAACGAGCGATGCTTGAATGCTTGGCGTTTGAGCAAGTCGATTGGTTGGACCGGACAAACTAGAGACGAGCCAACAATGTTTCATCAAAAGGCTATGCCATGTAGGAGTATGATGCATAGAACAACGACACAAGCTTTGAAGAAAGCATTTTTGGAAGAAAAAAAATACGGAGGAGTTCGTAATAAAAGACTATACCTGTGTATGGCACATGATTAGTTAGTTTGAAGGGACTATTATATTAAAACCTTGCTATCCTAAATCCACATGTGCATTACTCCATTTTTAATGGAAGTAAATTAAAGAAAATTATTTGCTTTTTAAGTAACGGAATAAAAAGCATTCCACCATCTACGTCCAAACACACACACACACACAACCAAAAACAACTGTCACGAAAAAGTACCTTTAAATCATGGACAATTGATGAAACTATGCAAAATTAAGCTCTTGCGCATGGTGAACATCGTGTTCATCAACTTCCTGGCGTACACATGCTCATCCACGCACACACACATGCATGTTGGATGATTCATCCGCCCACAAGGGCCGCCCTTGTCGTTTGTACAACAAACTAGAGCAGTAACGAAACGCTAGCGCCTACTTGCCTGACGGGCAGAGCAATCCTAGACGCTCGGGGTCAGATCAGATTGTTGCCCGGGCAGCTTCTCGCCTGGGAGGCTTGGGGCTTGCATCCAGACAAGTCCTGACTGCTCGATCGGACGATCACCAGCTAGTTCGTAGCTAGTTGTTGGGACCCCAGTTGCTGAGGTACATGACCGTCCGAAGCTCCTCCTCCTGCTGCTTCGCTTTCCTCTTCGCCGCCGCGGCCGCCGCGGCGCAGCCCGAGGCGCTGCTGCCGGGGCCGCCGGAGCCGTTCGCGCCTGCTGGCCTCCTGGCGCGCTGCTGCGCCTGACGGAACGCGTAGTTCCAGCGGCACAGGCCGCCCTGGTCCTTGAGCGCCTCCACGGTGCCCAGGCTCATCGCCGCCGCCCACGACGACGCCTTCGCCTTGCCGCTCCCGCTCGCCATCTCCGATCCACCCGTATGTTATGATCCGTTGAGGACTTGCTCGATGAGACCGCTCGGCTGCTGCTTGGTTCGTTGGTTGTGTGCTTGTGTGCGTACGTCTTGCCGTCTTGGCGAGGCAGTGCCGTGCGGCCGGTGGTCGGTCTTATAGCCAGGAGGGGGGCCGGGGCGGGGCGAGGGCGAGGGCGAGGGCGATGGGAGTGTGCCGTCGCTGCTGCGTGCGGGGCACGTGGTTTTGGGGGCACCGCCGCCAGCGCGTGGAAAACAGTGGGGGGAGCTCCTGAAAACCGGGTGCAGAGCGCGAGCGGCTGAGGACGCGCGCGGACGCCGAGGTTTAACTGCCTCGGGCGGCTGCTGGAAAGTGGAAAATGCGGCGCGCTGCTAGTGCCGTGCGTGTCAGTTGTCGCCTGTCGGTGTGCTAGCCAGTTGCTCCGAACGCGGCTTGGCCGCTTGGGCTTTTTCAAGCGGCCGTTTCCGGCACACCTCGATCAGGCACCTAGCATAGCTGACACCTCGAGAAAAATGAACGATGAGATCCTGTTTAGTCAGCTCTAATAAAGTTTAGTCAGCTAAATTTAATTCTATTTAGTCACTTTTCAACGTAACGAGACTAAATAGATTTTAGTCAAATAGTCACCAAATTATTAGTAAAAGGGACTAAACCTCACCTTTAAATCACTTTAGAGCCAAATATCCTGACGAAAAGAGACTAAAAAGCATCTTTTAGTCTTTTTTAAGTCACCTAAACCAAACGCACAGTGACTAAAGTTTAATCTCTGGTTTAGGTAACTAAAGTTTAGGAGAAAAAACCAAACATGACGCAAACATGTTTGGTTTCCCTTCTAAAGTTTAATCTCTATCACATCGGATGTTTGACACTAATTTGAAGCATTAAACATAGATTAATTACAAAACTAATTGCACAGATTAGAACTAATTTATGAGACGAATCTATTAAGTCTAATTAGTCCATGATTTGACAATATAGTGCTTCAGTAAATATGTGCTAATGATAGATTAATTATGTTTAATAGATTCGTCTCGCGAATTAGTCACGACTTCTGTAATTAGTTTTATGATTAGTATCCGAACACCCGATGTAATACCCAATGTGACACCCGATGTGACATCTCCTAAACTTTAGTCCCTAGATCCAAACACCCCTCGAACCTGGTACTCTGCAATTCTGCGTCTTTCCGAGGGCACTCCCAATGCATAAACTATCATAGTTTCTATAAGCATTAATTATATTATCACTTAAATATTTTGCTGATGTGGTGAGATAATTATTGAAGAGGAAGGAAAATTTATAGAAACAAGGTATAATTAAGAAACCAGGTCTTCACGCATATCAATGACGAAGAAATCACTCGGTCTTGCGTTGGGGAGAGAAGAGATGGTTTCTATCTTCTTCCCCAGATCCCGTGCGCTCACCTCCCGGCTACCGACGACGAGCTCCCCGCGCAGCAGCTCCTCATCCGCGGCTGCGGGCTCCTATTACGCCGACGCCGCACGTAGTGCTGAGTTCGAGCTGCCGTTGGAACAGGAATCGGAAGCACGTCATCGTTGTACAGGAAGGCGATACGGACTAGGCGGACCAACAACAGACGGGGACAACCCTGCGGCCTCGACCACTGGACGCCATGGAGCTCCGCCTGTGGCCGCTCGACGCGGTGGAGGTCCGGTCGTGGCCTCGATGCCCGCCCTCCCCGCACGGCTGCTCGACGCCATGGAGCTCCGGCTGCGGCTGCTGGACGCCGTGGAGGTTCGGTCGCGGCCTCGACGCCCGCCCTCCCCGCGCAGCTGCTTGACGCCATGGAGCTCCGGCTGCGGCCGCTGGACGCCTGCCTCCCCGTGCGCGGCCGCTCGACGCCGTGGAGGTCCGGCCGAGGCCGCTCCACACCCAGCTCGCGCGTCTACCCGCGTCGACCCGCCTCGACGCCATGGAGGTTCCGCCGTGGCCCGCCTCCCCATGCCGGCTCGCCCTCCCCACGCTGGCCCGCCTCGACGCCCAGCTCGCTTGTCTCCCTCCTCTGCGCACGGCGAGCGAGCTCGTATAGTCGCATATCTCGTCTCCGTCTCCCTCCCCTGCCACACGGACGCTCGAGGTGCTGGGCATCTATCTCTACGAGAGGCACAGAGGATCCGATATGGGAAGGGATGATGATTGGTTAGATATTTGGTTGGACTCTTGATAAAAAAAACTGCATTGAGAAGAATAGTTTTTTTTGTACAAAATCCTATACTCTAGAAACTATGGATGATTTCATTCGTTGGGAATGCCCTAAAGGTCCATCCGTTGCACCAGGAATGACCACCTGGAAAAAAAAAACTTGATTAGAATTGCTAGTTAAAATTGTAGAAACTTTATGAGTGGGATTAATTCCTGGACTGTTTCTATTGTAACTGAACGGGCCCTAATCCTAATCTTAACAGGAAATCGCATCGAGATGTGGCAAAATTTGCAACTCACCCGACGAAGCCAGCCGTGGAACTTCTTGTTTTTCTGTCTTAGGCTACGTTCGGTTCCAGGGAATCACCCCGGAACCCATCCTGCCAGGAATGCTTCGCTAATTTTATTTAGCTAACTCTCATCAGGATTGATTACCGCTAGGAATAGCCCTAAACGAACGAGCCATTAGTGAGACAAACCGGGTGTTTTCCGTGCAGCCCTGATGCGATAGGCTTCTTCTTTCTCCCTGACTGAATTGCGTATCATATTTAGCCCTCGTTTAGTCGTAGGAATTTGGATTTTGGACTATTGTAGCACGTTCGTTTTTATTTGGTAAATAGTGTTCAAACATGGACTAATTAGGCTCAAAACGTTCGTCTCGTAATTTCCCACCAAACTGTGTAATTAATTTATCTTTTCGTCTACATTTAATGCTCCATATACGGGCCGTAAACATTCGATGTGACAGGTACTGTAGCAACTTTTTAGAAATTGGTGTGGACCTAAACACGCCGTTATTTATCAATTCAACGATTCTCTCACCTGCGCTTTATTGATCCGTCCACTATACTGTATATATTTCGACATGAATCTCATGGAATCGGTTCCGAGGCCACCCGTAGAACTTCTTCCTTTCTCACGCACAGAATCACACGAGTGAATAGTAAGCTGCAGGTTTTCACCAAATGCTCTGCTCTGGGACAGGTGGGTAGAGTCAGCCAAACTATGGGAGGCGGATAGACGGCAGAGGAAACCAGCGTGCTCTAGGACATGGTTTCCACGCTGCGTGGTCCCTTTCGACGTTTGCTGATGCAACAGAGACACCTGCTCTCTCGCCTAGCCTGTTCGCTTGCTCGTAAACGATCGTAAATTTCTAGCTGGGAACAGTGTTTTTCTCTCACACCAAACCAGCCAACAGTAAATAATCCACGATACGATACGGCCTCCCGAACAGGCTGATTCGCCGTCGACGGCTGTTACATGAGTCATGCTGTCATGAGTCATACAGAAAATATCAAATTCGCTACTGGTGGTGTTACTGTTTTTTTTAATAACAGAATAATACATGTTCGTTTGATCGTATCAGCCATGCTTATTAGTTATGGTACAGTGTTTTTTTCTCACAACAAAACAACATCAGTCGACTTATAAGCCACATAAACGATCAAGCGAACATAGTAATACGATCCAGCACTTAACACAAATAAATGAACTTATGACAACACAAACTTAAGACCTAATTCTAAACATCAAACGACGTCCGAAGGACATAAAGAGGCTCGACGCTGCAATCTTCAAACTATGACAAGTCTCCAACATAAATGCTTGTCAATCTTCGCATTATTGCAAACTAGTCTATCAACTCGTGCTCCTGTGTGTTCTCTTTAAACAAAACCTGTAAAAGAGATTTGGTTTAGCACATGTCAAGCATTGAAACAAAAGATATTGAAAGAGTGGTGTCGTTAATGTAGTTTGGATTAAGTTTTTTTTTAGTTTTGACTAAGTCTTTAGAAAAATATTACTAATATTTATAAGTCTAAATAAATATACTATAAAAATATATTTCATAACTAATCTAATGATATTTATTTGATATTATAAATTTCTATTATTTATATGGATTTGATTAAATATAAAGTTGTTTGACTCCTTATAGAAAATAAGACTTGTATTTTCTTCTGTGTAGGGTATGTTGCTGGATGGATCCCAAATTATACAGCACGCCTGCGCCTCAACGATTGATATCAGATTGGGGGTTCTTTTTATCACAGGTTTGGGTTTATTTGTCTTGCTAATTGGCCTCTACTAATATAAGCCAAATCACATCACCATGGGTAAATTTTAACTCAGAAACGCTCAACTCCCTGCATCGAGTTCAAAGCATTTTATTTCCATGCCAGTACAGTAGCGTAGGAATCCAGACGCCGAAATCGAGAGGCAGAAGTTATTTTCTCATCATCATACTATCAGTTGGCAAGGCAACCAGCAAGGTGCCAAGGTCTCAACTCTCAAGGCGAGCTCGGTTACAAACAGCCTGTTCGCTTGCTCGTAAACGATCGTAAATTTTCAGTTAGGAATAGTGTTTTTCTCTCACACCAAACCAGCCAGCAGTAAATAATCCACGATACGATACGGTCTCCTGAACGGGCTGAAAAACCCGAAACAGAGCCGGCGACCGGATCCTAGTTAGTTGGGGCCCAGCAACTGAGGTAGTGAGGTACATGACCGTTCAGTATCAACTGAGGTTTTTTTCTATGGCTATATAATCTATCGATGGTTCTGCTGTGTTGTTCATTAGCATGTGTTTTATAAGGTTCAGTACAAAGTTGAAACTGCCAAACTGAACTGAAGAGTCAAGACGTCTACCATCGATACAAGATATTTGGAGGTTAGGTTCAGTTGTGGCCTGGGTGCCTGGCTTCAATACACATGCAGATAGCCAGATAGGCATACCTGTTGGTTTATTTGTCTTGCTATACTTAGCCCCTGCTAATAATCGGACATGGTCTAACAGTAAATTCCGGCGTCATCAAAGAACACATTTCAAAAA